AACCTGTTTGAACCTCGCTGCCTGATTTGCTCGGCTTGACCTCGGACTGCTTCTGGACATTCGCTTGCTTGCGTCACGCCCCCTGGTCCTGCCGTGACACTGAGACCTGTAAGACTGAAGCATCTGTCTCCATTCCTGATTCTTGCTCCCTAAAATCTGCATAGACATGAAGAAGAAATCTCTCTGGAATAGAAATTGCTTTCAGTAAAACCAAGCAGTTGAAAATTTGTCTTGGCCTTGTTTTTTTCAAACCCACTCTGGGAGGATTTCTATAAGGCTCCTCTGAATGCAGCAGGAGAATCCTCTTATACAGAAGATGAATATCAGCTCTATTTCTCTGCCTTCTCCCTTTGGAGACAATACAGTCAGTCAGCATAAAACTCTTCTGGAAAATAGGTGCTTATGTGTGTTGGCACAGCCTATGCTGTATTCACCTATCTGCTTCACCCCTTACTCTCCCTTCTTCTCAATTAAAAGATCTAATTTTCAGACTTGTTAAATGCTATGCAGACAACAGAATGTTCTCTGGAACTGGGTTGTTACCTGAGGCATGTTCCACCCATCACCAACTCGCTTCCTCTTTCAAAGGGAGCACTGCCTGCCAAGGGCTCCATCAAGGACCATAGCTGAAGCAGATCAGTTACCATGGTCACACAGGAAAGAGCCGTTGTGTTGTGTCGATGTACAACAGTCCCAAATTCTTTGGATTAGGAAAAACAAAGAGAAACTGAAAGGAAAAGTTTTATCACCGAAAATATAGAAAATGCTCTGTGAACCCCACATAGATAATTTTTATTTTTGCCTCATCAGGATAAATGTATTTTTCTGTTGTACCATGCAACAGAATGCAGAATTTTGGAGTTAGACTGGGAAGTGAAGAATGTATGTGGATTGTTCCAGCTACAGACACTCCTGAAAAAAACCAAATGAACACACACATTTGTTCATTTAAACACTGATACGCTATCTCTCCAAAGCTCAAAGGTACTTCCAACCAAATAATCAGTACACCAGTAACAGTAAAACAAATGTCAAAGTAACAGCCTCATAAACAATGATCACTAAAAAACAGTATACTACCAACCTGGAAGCGCCTACTGAAAATTAGGGTTGTGAGGTCCCCCCTGGTCACTGGTGGTGGGGCAATACCAGGGGGGAATACCTGGGTTTCCTTCCACAGTACAACAAAATGATATATGCATTTACATTTAGTGAGTCCTGCCTTATTCCTTATTTCCAAAATCTGAATCCAGATTCTTCCTTATGCTAGTATGGCATTTGTTTATGCCTTTTTCTGATGTCTTCCTTATATCCATCTGGTTTAAGAGGTCTTTACTAGGTTAAAATGTGTTTCTTTCCTTCCTACTTCCATAAGGGTGAATGGGCCAATATTGTCTTATATTATTTTGGTTTCTGTCCATATGGCAAATCAGAAGAAAGAATATTAATCTTCCCTTTGGTTGTAAATAGGCTCAGGGCTATTTTGGGGCAGGAACGCACAGCAACGGAGTTCCGGCTGGCTCCCGAGTTGGCCACGCCCAGCAGGAACACATTAGCATAATAGGCCACACCCAACAGCAGAAACTCATTAGGATTGGGCACATTAGGGGTGTGTGGCCTAACATGCAAAGGAGTTCCTGCTACAAAAAAGGCCCTGGGTTTTGACAACAAACAAGGTAAACAGAATAAGAATCAAAAGGTGGGTGTGGCTGGATGACCACGCTTCTGGTAACATGGGGGTGCGGCCTAATATGCTAATGAGCGGTGCTGTCAGGGTGTTGCCTAATATGCTAATGAGTTTCTGCTGTTGGGTGTGGCCTATTATGCTAATGAGTTCCTGCTGGGCTTTTTCTACAAAAAATGCCCTGAATAGGCTTTAAAGGATCCTTCTGTCCTCTCCTTTCTTGTCCTCTCATCCCATACCAGTATATATTATGCAAGCTGTTTGTTACCTCTCAAGCGAGAATGTAAGTTTCTACACTTTCTTCTTTCTTTTCATTCTTTTTTTTTTAAAAAAACCCACCCAATTTCTTTTTAGAATTTAACCTGGATCAGTTCACACCGCTTTTGTCATTTAGTAACCATATTACCATTAGTAACATGACCACATTGACTTTTAAAATTAGCAGTTACAGTTTATGGGTGATTGGTAGTATAGACATGCTTCTCTTTCACCAGCAAAGCTGCATCAGACTCAACAAACAAAGCAGGATATGCTGTTTCCAAAGATATTGAAATGTGGAGGTTATATAAATAAATTTCTGTTAGTCACTACCACTAAAGTATCATATGGAGAAGAGACTGCATAACAATTTCTAAAATTATATGGTTATCTATAGCAAAGGACCAGCAGGACCAATAATAGCCTGGGCAGCTTAGTCCTAAGCCCTGGACACCAGTTCATTAATGCTGCTGGTGTGGTACCTATATAGTTAGTCAGTATTGTGGACCTCAGTGTCCTACAGGGCTCATATGGGGAGAGGCGGTCTTGAAGGTATGCTGGCCCCTAGCCGTATAGGGCTTTAAAGGTAGGCACCAGCACCTTGAAATGGATCTGGAATTCAATAGGCAGCTAGTGCAGTTCGTGCAGCACTGGGTGGATATGAGGCAGCACAGGCATCTCTGTTAACACTCATGCTGCTGCGTTCTGTACTAGCTGCAATTTCCAGAGTGTCATGGGCATGGATGAGGGAGAGCTGACAGAGCTGCCAGATCTTGCAGAAACCACAGCTGACCCCTCTGAAGCAGCAGAGGAGAGCTGACAGAGCTGCCAGATCTTGCAGAAACCACAGCTGACCCCTCTGAAGCAGCAGAGAAGGATAGCTGGCAGTTGCCTGTATCAGCATTCTTCACACCTGGCCCAGATAAGGGGGAAGAATTACAAGCTGAAAGTCCTCCTGACTCACCCCCACATGTGACTCGTTTAAGGGAGCAACTGTGGCAGAACTTAGCAACCAGGCAACGAGAGGCCAGGCTACAGGGAAGATGCTTGGCTAGCCCAGAGTTCTAACAGGAGCCTGGGCGATCGTGCAGCTGGCTAATTGGTAGCAGCATTTAACTCCACACTCTGGGCAGTACTCTTTGTGGAAGCAATGAATCAGCTTTGTGCTGCTCGCATCCACTTTGGCTCAGCTCTTGCACCTAGACCTTCGGACCCCCTGGCTTTGGACTTGGCTCTGTGTTCCTGGCTGCTAACCCCGGTTTGGCTTTGGACTACGCTTTTTGTTAGTGTTTTTGGACTTGGCTCTGTGTTTCTGGCTCCTGACCCCAGCTTGGCTTTGGACTTGGCACTGTCTTCTTGGCTCTTGACCTTGGCCTGTTCTGGACTCCCTTTGACTGGCACCCCAGCCCATGACAGGAGTAGAGTCATGAGCAGCCCCGTCTAGAGAGAGTTACAATAATCCAGTCTGGAAGTGACCATTGCTTGGGTCACTGTAGCTATCCACTGATAGACAGTTGCCCAGACACAGCCCCAGAAGATCTGAATGAGGCATTACAAGCCGTGGCTGGATGGTTGTGACAGAGCCAACTGAAAATAAATCCATCTAAGATGGAGGTCCTGCACCTGAGTTGTGGGGGGTTGAGTCAGGGAATCAGGCTCCCAACCTTCGATGGGGCTCCATTGGTGCCAGCGTTGAAGGTGAAGAACTTGGGGGTGTTCCTGGATGCCTCTCTTTTTATGGAGGCCCAGATCACTGCCACTGCCAGGTCTGCCTTTTTCCATCTGAGGCAGATCAGGCAGTTGGCCCCATATCTCACCCCCGGGACCTAGCTATGGGTCTTCTTATTTTGAAACCAGCTCTTAAACTACAGTTCTGTAGGATAGGAATCATGCATTTTGCAGTGTTTATATAATCATGATTCCTGTGCATTTATTCTTGATGACAGACCTTGGATCCACCAATGTGTAAGTGGAAACATAGAGGGACTTAGCTCAGTTCCACTTGTGCAACATCTTGTGCAATGTATAGGTTTTTTCACTATATATTATAGTGCCCAGAAATTGGTTCTACAAGATTTTGTGCAAGCAGAAATGCATGTGAGTGTACAGTAAGTCCGGCTTAGTGCAAGTGGCTACTATGGTCTTTTCCTCTTGTTTCTGCTTGCACAAGAGCTCTTGTTCAAGTGGAAATTTTACATTGGGTCCAACTGGCTGTTTCCCCCCTTCCTTAGCTTTGTCTGCATACACTGGCTAAAGACTGAACCCTTTCACTGAGACATAGCTAGATTCTAGCCCACAACGCAGCCTCTTCCCAAGACTTGTGGTTCACTTTTCCCTTCATACGTTTCGTGATTGTCAACTGTACTGTCAGCCATTCCTTAGTGCTCCTCCTAGCATATCTTCTCTTTTGCACAGTATTTAGGATTGGGTGCACAGCTTGTGCCTCATCATCTTGTCCTCCTTCCAGGGAAAGGCATGTTAGAAGTTTCCAGCTTGGCAACTCTTATACACCTTTTCCCATGACCTCTTTCTTCTGACTAGGAGCCTATCATATCTAACATGAAGTGCAGTAGAATAACTTCAGTGTTAATAACCTAGGAGATAATGAGCTGGTGAAGGGTTTCTCCTAACCACAGGGCTGATAATGCACTGTGTCTGGCTGCAAAAAGAAAGCATAACCCTTTGTGATAATTTCAACTGCTTATGCCCCTTTGGGATAATTTCAACTGCTTATGCTGTACATACAGGTGAGTGTAGTGCTTAGTTTGTTAGGTAAAAGGAGAAGTATTAACTCATGAAAGAATGACATTTCTTTCTTAACAAGATGGTGAGTTAATTAGCCTTTCCTCATCCTTAATTCTGGTCCTGGCACACCAGGGAGAAAACCATCCAGAACTGGAGTAAATCATTATTACCTATTACTCTATGTTATACTCACTAATTCAGGTAGGAAATTTGCTCTTCCTGTCTAATGAATTCCACAGGGTCCATAGGAAGAGAACTGGAAGGCTACAAAGGTAAAAGGAGGGTGTGCTGATGGGTTGTTGATGTTTTACAGGATTAACCTGATTGCACAGCCATGGAAGGGGATTGTTTGAGCTGCATGAAGTACCTGATGTTTGTCTTTAATTTCTTCATATTTGTAAGTATTCTCCAGTTTTTAATCACATACCGTGTTTCCCCGAAAATAAGACACTGTCTTATATTTATTTTTTCTCAAGAAGACACACTATGGCTTATACCACAAATGCATAGAAATCCTGCTAGGGCTTATTTTTGGGGTAGGTCTTATTTTCGGGGAAACAGGGTAACTGTTCTCTGAATTATTAGAACCACCTGTATTTTGGGAGAGCAGCAAGCATAATAGGCCTTAAGGTTCGTTTACAGTGTCTGAAAGGTTTGGTACATTTGTTGGTAGGTAATTACTGGTGATGCAGGTGGAGGCTGTATCACTGAATAAGACCTAGGAGCTTTGAATAATTAAGAGTTCTAGCTTCTTAGTGCCCTGACCTGGATCTTGGAAGCTAAGCAGGGTCGGTCCTGGCTAGTATTTGGAAAGGAGACCACCAAGGAATGCTAGGGCCATGACATGGAGGCAGGCAAAGGCAAACCATCTCTGTTAGGCTCTTGCCTTGAAAACCGTATGGGGCTGCCACAACTCAGAAAGCAGCAAAGGCTTCTTAGTGACCCCTCCCACAACCATGAGAAATCAGCAGGCTAGGTGAGACTATATCAGCCACTGTACTGATCACTACTAGACCAAATTTTCCATGATGTTTTGTGCTTTCATGCCAATAAAGGTTTTGTGTGTGTGTGTACTAGACCAAACGATAACTATCAGCATGGGCAGCTCAGCAGCAATAGTGCCCAACTAGTGGCCTGTGATGTCCAAGCCTACTTGCTTGAAAGTGCATAATCAAGGATCTTAGTTTTCCTATGATGGTACTTTAGTTACTGAAAAAGCCACAGTTTGGAAGCATCCTTTCAGAAACTATTCAGTTAAGTACAGCTGAAACATTTTTATATAGAGAGTGCTCATTATGCTCTGGAGATTGAACATTAGGATAAGGAATCCCTTCTAAAATTAGAGGTCACCCAGTGACCCACCGAGAGGCCTCTTTTCATATGCCAAGAAAAGAAGCTTTGGGAGGATAAAACCTGTGTGTCTGAGGCTGTGATCTTGCTCCCTCTATAGTAATGTTTGCCTGGGCTGCTCCAGGTCTTCCTGACCTGTAAACTAGTGGATTAGGTTTACAACAACCAAAGAGGAGGGCTGGGTCAATAAACAGGAAGGGTAATCACTGGAATAATTGAGCTGTTGTGAAAGAATGGATGCTTTCTTCTATAAATAGATCCAATAATGAAGCATAAAAGGGAAAAGTTGCATAACCTGTGCTGCAGAGAGCTATATCCCTATAATGCAGTATTTAAATCTGACTATGACTTACAGCTGGAGGTGGAGGAGCCTAGTAAAGAAGTAGGGATGCCAGCTTCCAGGCTGGCTACAGACTACAGATATCAGTTACCCTGGAGAAAATGGATGCTTTGGAGGGTGAACTCTATGGCATTGTACCCCACTGAGATCCCTGACCTCCCCAGGCTCCACCCCCAAATTTCCAGGAGTTTCCGAGTCTGGAGCTGGCAACCCTACCTCCCATCACCCATCAGTGACTGGGGGGACCTGGCATCCCTATACAGAAGACATTTTGTTTCTAACTTTTCTTTTTCCTTTTTTTGTTCATGACAGCTGGGTGGCACATGTCTACTAGGAGTTGGAATCTGGGTCATAGTGGATCCCACTGGATTTCGAGAGATAGTGGCTACTAATCCTCTGCTGTTCACTGGGGCATACATCATGCTGGCCATGGGAGCAATGCTCTTCCTGCTGGGCTTCCTTGGGTGCTGTGGAGCCATCCGTGAGAACAAATGCCTGCTCCTCTTTGTAAGCATAACTGGCCATCTCTGTTGTTTGGTTTTCTTTTGTACTGTCTGCATGGTTAAGATGGGTGATCTGATGACATTGGTGCAGAAAACCATGTATCTTGGCTCATCATTTTATTGACTACAAAGCTTTTCTGCCCAGCTCCATACATTCTGATCTGTATGCAAGTTGTATGAGCTACCTTAAGCCATTGCTTAGATGTACATGTTCTAGTTACCTAGAAATACTGCAACTACCTTTGTCCAACAACAGCTACTATTAAGCATGGAATGCTGGCTGATAACCATTGATGGAAAGTTCTTTGAGATTATATTTTTGACAATCATGTAAACAATAAAGCAGTCAAGAAGGTTAACAGATAGTAGGAAAAGATGGTCAGATCTGAGGACAGTTGCTCTATTAAATTTAAAATAAAGCTTAGCTAAATGTTGAGAGACAGAGAGAGACAGAGAGAGACAGAGACTTTGAACTCCTGTGGAAAATACGGACAGGTCTCAGTGGCACGTGCCCAGCTGTTTTCTTTGAGCTAAAACATATAACTTAATCAAAGCTTGAACAGAAATCTGTGAATTCTGAGTATGTTTCTTGTTTCCACAAGAGCCTTCACGACAGTGTGGTATACCAGTGATTCTGCAAACATTCTGTGCATCTTCTACCATGGGTGTATTCTCTCCCCACACTATATCACTCATCCGATTCTGCAACAGCAAGAAACATTTGGTGCATTATTGTGCATGTTGTTTAGTAAGGCCTGCAATCAAAGAATGGAATTCCTCTTTATCAGCTTTTTCTCAGTAGCAGCTCCCCAAAGACAATAAATCAGACTTTAACAGTGCAATCCTAAGAGAACTTTCCTGGGAGTAAATAGACCTGAGTCAGATTCTAACTATAACTGCTTAGGATGGCACTGTAAATAATTAAGGCTATTCCATATATTGCATCTTGGTGTAAGTCTAAACAAAGTATAAGGTAGAAATTGTACACTATAATGTTCAATGTGAATATGTAATGTTACTGTGTTTTTTCTAACACCCCTCTTCTTTATTTCTCCCAGATTTTCCTTCTTTATGTGCATTAGCAGTTGTGTGTAGTAGCTAAACTTTTCATTTGCTAAACTAATTTATTGTGGGAACCCCAATATATATGTGAAGTGGAAAAAGCTATGATAGAATTTTTAGTAAACTTTGGCCAGGAACAAGGACTTCCCAATTGGAGGTTTGTTCCACAAAAAGGCAAATTTATAGCAAGAAACTTTGTAGGATCAGCCTGGCACAATTGTCTTATTTCTTTATGGATTTGGATGCAGTACTTTTTAACAGTAATTATTTTGATGGCTTGATTAAAATTCAAGTTAAAGTTTCCAAGAACAGATGAGCCAGAGTCTCCCAAAGAGGGATTTTGCAGTAATACATAATGAATGCTTGAAGCTTTTAGCTTGCGTGAATTCAGTGCAACTGTGCAACACAGGCAAGATAGTAGAAACAAGGGAACTTTTCAACTCAAGTTTCTTTTTGTATAGAGGTTATTTTTCATGTTATATTTCTATAAGAAATGTTGCGGTTGAATCTGATCTGCTAAGCTCATACCCTGCAACATATTTGGGGGAGGGTCAGGGGTCGTTTCGTAGAAAAAGAGCTAGGGGAACTCATTAGCATAACTCATTAGCATATGCCACACCCCCTGACATCACCGGAAGGGTGTCATAAGTCCACACCCCCTGAATGCGCTCGCCCGCTTCGGGAGAGGGGATCAAAGTGTAGTACAAGCCTCCTCCAAGACTTGATCACACCAATCTCAACTCTCTCTTGGGTCTTGATGCCTGCCAGTCATTCCCCCTGCTTGGGGGAAGCCGCGTTGGACCAAAATACAGTCCAAACTGCTGTAAGGAACACCCGTCCACCCTGAGCACTTACAGGGTGCATCAAATCGCCATTTTACCCCGACCGGAAGCAGGGGGCGGGCTTTGTCATGTGCCCCGCCCCCTCGCACCTCACCCGGGGGAATGACGATCCCCCGCGATTCCCCCCAAATCGACCCCTGGGAAGGTGTATTTTTGTATGTCTGTGTGTGAGTGTATATGCTTGCATGTCTGGAAGTCATGGTGACTTCTGGTGATATACCTATTGGGGGATGTTTTTCAGAGAGGTGGCTTGATAGCTTGCCTCTTCATTCCAAGCCCTGATATTCCTTGGAGGTCTCCTTCCAAGTACTTGCCAGAGTTGGCCCTGCTCAGATTCAGAAATTGGACTTGCCTGAGCTATCCAGGTCAGGGCCCCTGCCATGTATTTTGTTAGTCTTTAAGGTCCTACTGGTCTCTTGCTCTTTTCTACTGCTATGCAAGTAGCCTGTGTTTTGCCGCTAGTCTTTAAAGCTACTGTAGCAGTTGAACTTTGCATGTTTAGAAGAAATGCAGGTTGCTGCAAAATCTATAACCAAAACTTAGACCAATTTTTCCACATACGTCTACATAATAGGCATTAGCAGCACATGCTTCAACAGATTGCATCACACAAGACAGAGCAGGGTTCAACTGTACTCGGAGTGTTATTATAGAAGAGCAGAGCAGCCTTGAGTAACTCTGAGCCATGAATTGAGAATCAGAAGCCATGCCTATAATCAGTACTAAGAACATTTTGTAAAGTAAAGCTCTAATTCGTACAGCTTGGCACTGTTCTGGATGTTTTTCTGTTCTAAGGATTTGGCAAATTTGTTCTGCTGTAGTTGTAGATTGCTTTTATGAGCGAAGGGGAAACATTCCTCACTCAGCTTGCCTTATTTTGATTATTTTGAGAAATTCTGTCCCAGCTGTTTGCTGTAGACACACAATGATTTGTCTGCCTTTCCTTTTTCTCTTTCAGTTCTTCATGTTTATTTTGCTAATCTTCCTGGCAGAACTCTCAGCTGCAATCCTGGCTTTTATCTTTAGGGAAAATGTAAGTATCATAATGTTGACATAGAAACTCTCTAGCATCCTATGGATTGTGGTTCAGGTGGCCTTTAAATTACTGGTTATGTGTCTGCTGAACAGGCATTTGTTCAGGCTGTCACTGAACCATTCCTGTTACTCTTAGCCTGCGAAATTTGCAGCGGCCCTCTGAATGTGAACAAATCCAGGTTATGTCAAGTAGATGGTTTATGTGTAGAAGAGATGTGACTCCCAAAGGTTTTCGTCCTCATTCAAATTACATTAGTTTGAGAGATTTATTTATTTATTTGAGATATTTGTACACCTTTCCTCAAAAGAAACTGTACCCAAAATGGTTCACAAAATGACATTCTTTAAGAAACATACAACTTAAATTAAAAATGGCAGCAGGAAACACCACTTCAAACAACACAGTGTTAAAACAAGAAAAACATTTGAACTATAGACTCAGCAGATTAAAGTACTCAGTTTATAAGAAAATAAAACTGTATCCTAAATGTTGTAGTTGCCAATATGAATAATCTGTAATGTATATCTAACTTGATGGCTGTGCATTCTCACACACATCTTTCCTCAGCTTTCCTGACAAGTGCTGTCAAGTAAAATGAGTTCAGATAGGACAGCATGTCTTTGGACAAAAATGGTTGCAGATTCCAAGAGGACACCTACATTTCTCTGAGGAACAGGAAGTTTTTGAGGTTTTCCACTCCTTGATACTTTTCAGGATGGTTCAGATTCATTTACAGTTATATCTACTGTGGAAAACAAAACACTGATACCTCCCAGCAGAAATTTTTAAGTGGGGGCAAGGGCAAGTCCCTAGGAGAATAACAGAAACTGGCAGTGCTTCCCCGAGGATTCTCTAGTTTCCACAGTTTAATTTAACCACATTTGTTTACTGGCAGTCCAATCCAGAAAGTTACAACAGCAATGGGGGGAATGGGAAGCTGAAAATCAGAAGTGCATCTGAATCACAGCTAATAGCCAAATTGTAACAAAATAGCAACATTTAATACATCAAGATCAGTCTGCTTCATCCTGACACTAGCATCTGCTTTTCCTGAAGATTAAGCCATGCAAGTCTAAGGATACATGCAATGTTCTTATTGTTATTGTTTCATTAGAAAATTGTTGTTAGCTGTACACTTCTTGTTCTGACTCAGTCCATAGATTTGCCTGTTAAAGTACTGAGAGTGGTTCAGTTTCAGTCTTTTGTCTGTGCCAGAGAACCAAGTTACAGCAAATCTGCAGTAATGGAAAGAGCCCATTACTGCAGATTTGCCGTAACTTGGTTCTTTGTCACAGATGAAAAACTGAACTTCACATACGCACCTTATATGGCCCATGTCAACTAGCATGTCTTTGCATGGCCTGTCTTGCCTTTCTCCATTGTGTCATTTCTAGCTATTTGGGTTTCCTTCCATTTTTTTTAGTTTTGGTTTTGCATTTTGTTTTGTATTTATTTTGGCAATTCCTGCCATAAATCTGCATCCTCAGTTTTCTGCAATTGAGCATTTCCACATGGAGTCTAAAGAATAAATAATGGATGGCAGAAAAGCAATGAAGAGAACCTCACAAGAGAGCCTGTGGTCTGGAATTTTGGCACTGGGTAAACCAGCGCTGTGCAAACAGAAGGCCTGCTTTTAATTCAGTGATATTTAACAAAGTCGGTGATTGGTTATAAAGGTGCTCTATATTGCAGTTCGAAAGCAAGAAATTGCAAGTAGATAAATAGGGACCACTTCGGTGGGAAGGTAACAGTGTTCCGTGCACCTTGGTGTTTAGTCATGCCGGCCACATGACCACGGAAACGTCTTCGGACAGCGCTGGCTCTTCGGCTTTGAAACGGAGATGAGCACCGCAACCCTAGAGTCGGATTCGACTGGCTTTCGAGCAAGGGAACCTTTACCTTTACCTTTTTATATTGGGTTCATTACAGTGTAAGCCTCCTAGAGGCATCATTCTGGCCTCTGTTGGAAAATTAATGATGGACAAAATGGACCTTCACAGTGCTACTATAAGCAGGTCCTACTCTATACCCAATCCTACTCTATACCCAATGGAGCTTACCCCCAGGGAAGTGTTCTTAGGATTACATTATTCATCTATTAAGCAAAGCTGTTCTTATGTTGGTATGTTCTTAGATAATATTCATGTTAAAGCCCATAACGTTGTTACTAAGCTTTTATGCAATGTTCTTCTTAAGTGTTTAAACTATTTCACATATTATGGAATTAATCCTTACAATAACCCTGTATAGGCACATATATGCTGTCAAGTTGAACCAATTTATGGCAACCCCCGCAAGGGGCTTTCAAGGCCAGTGAGAATCAGAAGACTGCCAGGGACTGCCATTGCCTTCTTCTGCAGAGACTTCCCTGGCAGTCTCCCAATGAAGTACTGACCCTACTTAGCTTTTGAGATCTGACGAGATTGAGGTATTACAGGTGGTAGGTGTGGATGTGTTGAGATCAGAACAGGGCTTATAACCCACACAATTAACCCACCAAAGACCACTGTGGCAGGCAAAAGTATCTTTCATCTACCCCTCTGCTTTGATTTCCTCCTTTGATTACAAATGAGTGATGTCACAGGTCACACATTTAAAAAGCAAGTGTTGAAACCAAAGTGACTTGATTTTTCATGCTTTCAGGCTGCGATCACATGTGCCTTTAGATCTGACATAGGTGTGAATGCCTGAGAGATCTAAAGTGAGCAATCAAATAGCAACATCTAGGAAGCATCCTGCAGTCGTCGGCAACCCGTGCTGCTCCACTACAGAAGCAGAGTTAAAAGACAGTGGGGAAAGTCCGGTAGTAAACGGGTTCTGACAGGCCACAGATGGACTTCCCCCTGTCTGATCGCGCAAGCACACTCTCATGCCGTCGGGATGGTCTAATCAGGCCATCCTGGCTCTGTGCCATCCCCTTCCAGTATGCACATCATCGTATACTCCATAGGAGGCCCTCAGTGCAGAGGTGTGATTCCTAGTTTATACGTATGGGAAACAAATGGGGGGGGAAGACTCACCCACAGTTGTGTCAGATCACACAGTGAAGGGCTATGCCCACAGCTTCAAAGGGATGTATGATATCGCAACTGCATGTCAAATTTCTCTGGAGGAGATAGCCTCACTTCCCCTCCACTTCAACTGGTGTGTGTGACCGCAGCCTCAGTCCGGAAAGTTCAGGATTAATCTATATAATAACATTGACATCGTACATACTGGAATATCTTCACAACATGGGTTGATTTTTTTGCAAGTTCAGTATATCTGAGAGCCACTGATAACCTGAGGTTGCAAAATTTAAAAAAAACTGGTTAATTCTTAACATAATCAGAGCAGAATAGCAACAACAGATTGCGAATGGAAACATTTCTTACTTTTGCTGTTGAACCACTGGGTAGCATTATCTCATACTGGACTATATTGGAAAGACTGTATTGGAAACTATATTGGGACTATATTGGAATGAAATTTCTGGTTTTCCTTTTAAGCATCCTGCCCCTGGTCACAATCATTGCTACCTTAATGTAATTTTGGCCTAGAAAACAGCCTAAACATTGCTTTATAGGTATTCAGAGTCATTTTACATTATGTGCCAGATAATAATGTGATGGTCAATTTCTAATATATTTGATTATTTCCTGAGTTTTACATGGCTTCTGCCAGGCATTTAGGATTAATTGATTTTATTCTGATGTAGGTATTCAATTCTGTTTTAATTCTAGATTTTAGTGACAATTATAGTTTTAATGTTTTTGGTGGCAACTATTGGTTCTTTTTTGTATTCAAATACAATTTTTTCACATCTTTCTAGAGTCCACAGAGGCTAAAGACATTGGCAAAAAAATATCTGTAATGCCATGGGTGTGTATTTCCAGGAAACACAATTCAGCAATCCTTGGAAAGCACACCTAAGTTTACTAAGGTACTTCAGTATCTACCAAGTACTGATACTGGGGGAAAAGTCAGATTCCTTGGTGCTCAGTCCCATTCTTCAGAGATCATTGCAAAAGCATACTAAAGTTTCCCAGTTTCTGCTAAGCATAGGTGCTAGGGGAGAAAATAAGGCCCCAGGATGTACATTGAATCTTTGATTCAAGAATCATTAGAAAAGAGTGCCCAAGTCTATGTTAAAGTTATCTAATGTAAAATAAAGTGGTTCTTTAGTGTGATATATTTTTAATATCACAGTAGACAGTCCATATGCAATTTTTGTCTAATGAGAGATTCTCTAATATGATATATATTTAATTGCATATTATCGAGTCCATATAGTGAACATCTGATGTAAGATTCTTTAATGTGATATATATTTAATATTGCACAAAAGGCCCATATACAATATTCCATTAGAGAATAATGTTATATGGACTCTCTAATGTGATATTAAAAATATATTACATATCTTTAATATATTAAAAAGCCAGGGAGCTGAGGAAAAATGTAATATGTCTCCAGTTCTCTTTTCCACTCACCTCTTCACAACAGCTTCCATTCTACATGGCTGCAGTCCATGCAGGGTCATCTCCAGCTCAGCATTTTTTGGTGTTCATAGGGGACCTGTTCTCCCTTTTTAATCCTTTTTTTTTAAATGGGAGGCAACTTGCGTGTTACTGCTTGTTCCTTTCTTCCTCAATATCATCTGCAAATATTTGTTATTAATAACCCTTTAACTCAGTACCATTTTTATTTAACATTCATATTTTGCACATTTTCGGAAGCCATAATGGTCAGCATTTGTCCAATGTCAACACACATGCAAACAGAAAAAAGAGTCTTGCCTGTTCTTGTAGCATGATCGTGGATGTGTTCTCCTCCTACATTTATATGTGAAGCACCTCTCAAAGTTTTTTTTGTGATGAGAACATGATGTAAACACCTCTGTCTTAATTTTCTGCCCTGCTACATGAATCTTTTTGTAGAAAATAAGATCGATCTGGTCACTATTACTGACTTAATCCCCCACACACCATTTACTTATGGTATGCAAACTTCTCATA